TGGCATGAGTATTGCCCTTTTTTACAAACCACATTATGTTGTTTTCTGTCTAGCCTGCTGTAGACTAGCTGTACGTGTATGAGTTTGGTGTCTCTAATCATGTGGTTAACATCCTGTGAAGGTCGTTTGCTTCCATTGGCACTTTTTTATCTCACATGGCCATGTGTTGTGCTTTATTTTCAAATGCCATGAATTTAAAATAATGAGGCCCATCCAGACCCTTAGGGCAGTATTATCCAGGACTCCTACAGTGTTTGTTTACCATTTATTTAGCTTTCTCCCTCCTATCTCAATCCTGAATACCATATGAATTCCAATAGGTGCTTCCTTGGGGAAGACATTGGTACCATTGCAGCTGGAGAAAGAGTTGTTTCTGGTTTACAGCGATGTCATCTGAAACTGCGCCTTGTTTTTTTTCTTTTCAAACGCATAAACACGAGACAGAGGCCTTTTCAAAATTCCAGGAAAAGAGAGATTCGGGCCGAAAGGTTTCTCGTTCTCCGATTCGACCTTCTCAAAAGTTGCTGTCATCTACGCTGTCTTGAAACAGCTGCTGCAGATGTTGTGACTGATCTGCATAGCTATATTGACATTCCTGGCTAACCTGCTTGAGTGTTTCAATTTATTATGACTTTTCAATTATTTGGGATCGTCGCAAAAACAAGGAAAACAATATTTGCCTGTAGTCATTCTATGATTCCGAGGACATTTGACTACAACCACATACAACCATCCTTACTTTAAGAAACTGGGTTTTTCTTGTGAGCGGAGAGCAGGCGTTTGGGATTTAGCCTCCAGTGTACAATCTCCTGTATCACAGATCTACCACACACTTCATCACAAGAGCTGAGCTCAATTGAAGAGTCATCACAGAGGCTGAAAGATTCTCCATCCCTGAGGCTAGAGCTGTAGCAGCACCGCTCAGGTTTATTGGCTGGGCAGATCGGCAGCCAGGTCACATGACCCACGCCACAGCTGACCTGTCGCTGAGCCCCAACTGCGTCTTCCTGCACTTTCCATCCACCAAGACTGACGCTGTCAAGCAGGGCGGCTGACCAGAGTGGAACAGCAGTCAAACCCTACTTACTGTACTGTGTATATATATATACACACAGATTTTCTTATTGTTAAAACATTCTGTGCTTTTGCCTGCAAACGGATGCGTTTAGGTCTGAGTTCCAGTATAGCAGAATAGTACTAAAAATGAATATCAAAATTAGATTTACAGCTAAATTTTACACCTCAATAATAAGTATTACTGCAGCGCCTCTCTCGAAAAACAAGGCATTTGAAAGAGTTCCTGTTCTGACTAAATAACTAGTGGCTGCGTATAACAGAAAATGATAAAAATGTAATTGGTTATACTGAGCAAGAAAATGGCTTCCATTATCTTGATTGACAATAGAACCTTTATTAATGATGGGGACTACTTAAGTCATGCTAAGATAATTACAATTGGGCACAGCGATATTCACGCTCTGCTTTGTGAACTTAAAAAGGGGCTCCTTTATAAACTGCTGTCCTTGGTTGAATATAAATCTTCTGCGCTGGCTCCAGTGTAATCCCCAGAGGTTCAGCAGTGCCGTTCTCCCTTTGACTTCAGATAAATACAGACTGAAAGCTAGAATATCTGCCACGTTCCTACGGGATCTTTTTTATTAAGAATTAGAAGCTAAGTACAGTAAAGCCTCTCAAACAAGATTTGTTTTTTTCCCTTAGAATTATAAATTCACTGACTCTTAAATGTTTTGCAGAACCAGTTTTAGCAACCGGTGAATCACAAATCCCTGACAAAATGCTTTACAGAATCATGGACATTCAGCCCCTCTCGCGGGGTGAAGATTGTTTTGTTGTTGTCTTTTTTTTCCATTTTTTGAAGCTTTTAAAATCAATGCATCCTCCAAGCTGCCAGAAGGTTGTCATTTAAAAAAGCATGGTGCTCCTTCAGGCCTGTCAAGCGATGCTGTTCCCTGAGCAGTGCAACTTTTTTGCAAAATGGTGCCTGTGTAGACATTTTACAAGTTTAGCAGGGGTAAAAGGTCTGTGTTGGTTTCATGTTGGCTGTAGAGCAGCAAGATTAAACAGCGTCTGCAGTAAGAATGTAAACAGCTTCAACAACTTGGCTGGGTAGCTTGTTCTAGACTCCTACAACCCTTAGCATACAGTAAATAAGTACCTCTCTGTTCCAGCTTTGCACAACCCATCCCGTGATTCGGAAACCTGAGGCGACAGTAATGATGGGCTCAGACTGCGCTCATATGACAACCTGGGTCAGTGGCACAGAGAATTGGCAGGGCTGGTGGGAATGATGAAATGGAATTGTTTACAGAGCTTTTAAATTGCAGAACTGAGCTGTGTGCTGCTATTTGAAGGGCTCCCTTAATTCAGTCCTTCAGCGGGAGACACATCACGTATGGTTTTAAGATGAGAGAAATTCTTTCTGTCTCCTCGGAGCCTGATCTTATTTTCTGGTGCCACTTGGTGAAGGTTTAGTAAAAATCTTATTTAAAACTAAATTGTTGGAGTGCCTTGTCTGTTATTTTTTTTTTTACCTGCTGTCTCTAGCTCGAGTTTTCAGTTTGTTTACTGCTTTTATTTAAGACAGACATAGAGGATGGAATAGAAAAACACAATTCTGATTTTGTGAATGGTGTGCTCTTTCAGTTCGCCACTGAAGTACCTTATCTTTATTTAACACAAAACAACTCTGATCAGAATCTCTGTGATTTTAATGTTGTATTGATTCAGAAGGTTTGTTTCTAAACAAGTGGGGTATGAATATATCTGTCAGCGCCAGCGAGTCACTTTGAAATGTTTTGTAAATCTTTTTAAACAGAAAATCGCAAAGATTGGTAAGAAATTGGGCAATTAGTCCTAAGAATGCTTACTGTATGCAAGCAAAGCTGAAAAAGGGTTTTATATGTGTAAAAATGTACAGTATGACATGATCTTTGGAGCACCTCACATTGTCACCAGCTCCTTGCTGTTTGTTGCTGTACTTCACAGCAGTTCCTGAAGCGAGCATCACATCTGTTCCTGAGTTATGAGTAAGACAGAGAGGCAAAAGCACAAGGGTTCAAAATCTGTCCTGGTCTTACAGTCCTGGGCTTTTGCTGCAGGAAAACAATGGCTCAGTTGGCTGGAGTGGTTAATGGAGAAATCAATCATTTGAGCCGGAATAAAAAACAGGGAACGACACCTCGACATTATAAGCGTTTAGCGAGAGAAATAATTGAAGGGAATTTTTTTTTTTAAACCATACAAGGTAAAAATCTAAATGCGAAAAAAAGCCCCCTGCACCACAAATAAACCAGGCTTCTTGGTTTTATTCAAAGGCACGTTTGGGATCTGCTTGCACTAAGACTTCAATCTTTTGTACAACACCCAAGGTCATTTAAACTAAAGCTAAGTGGAATTGGCAGCTATTTATCGCTGTCTGTTGCAAGTTCTTACCTATCACGGTCACCAATGTCAACATCATGCCAGTTTTTTTTGTTGATGGGGGGTGGTTTCCACTGCATGGCAGACTTGGAGTGAAAACTCTCAGAAACCTAAGAATACAGCAACCGGGGCCGGTCATCAGGGTATCGAGCACGGTGTTTTTCAATAACACACAGTGAAATACAGTACAGCTGCTACATTTATATTTGTAGCTCTGCAGGTAGCATTACAGGAACATTAGCTCCAGAACAAAAGCGCAGCACACTGTTTACTCAGGTGCTGTTCAAACTGTCCACATTCATTTTCCGCCCGTCTTCATTTCAGTTTTATCGCCTGGCAGCTTTCTACAGAGTCAGTTGTAATCACCTTCACTTGGGTCTGAAAAAAGTCCAGTGCAGCATTCCTCTGTGAAAGAACGCAGCGGAGAACGACTCCAGTGATGAATACTCAAGCTACTGCTTGCCTCCGCTTCGGAAAAGATGGATTTATGTTTTTCTGATTTTTTTTTATTATTATTTTATTGATTGTAGTACTTTGTTTTTTGGGGCTGAATTTCAGTGTCGAATGCTACTGTACATTGCATGAGAATGGAGATTTGCAGGGAGTAGACACTTAGACACTCCTGTGTGATAATTTGCCGATTTGTTGTTGTTTTTTCTCAGCATCTACATATTCAAACGCCATATGGACCCTAGGGAACTACAGAGCCGTAGGGTCACATGAACTCTGGAGGAGAGTGCTCACAGATCTCAGCCACCCCTGTGCTGGTGCAAGAGTCATAACAGAAGAAACAAGTTCATCAAAAGTCAATAATTCCATATGAAAAATAACCAAGTGCTCAGAATTTTTAGTATATATTTTCACTAAACCATATGCCCAGACTTGTTGTAACTTGTGCTTGCAATGCAACTCAAAAGCAACTAGGGGACCTACAAAACAGAACTTATAAAAAAGCATGTACTGTATTGATTCGAACACATTCACTTTTTGGATGATCAATTAACTATTTTTCCCCTTCCTTGTCTACAAGGAAAAAATAGCCACTTCGAGAATTTGAAAATGTTTCATTTCTCCCTGTCCTTAAATACCGAGGTTGTTTGTAATAAGAATATGCCTAAGAGTACTATGATATTATTCTGATTCTGAGAACAATTCTGACAGGTACAAATTGGATTCCCATCACAGGCCTTTTAATAAAAGAAAGCTCCTTGTTCAGACCTGATACATTCCCCTTAATTGCCTTCCCATTCATTGTGCGTCTGCATTCTGCATTTTGCTCATTCTCAGAAAATGTAAGATTGAACTTCCTCCTGCTGTTACAAAGACAATGCTGCTTGACTCTGGTTAACATTTGGTGTCTTTCTTCTCCCGTGCACAGCCTCAGCCTGGAGTTTTGGCACAAGCCTAAGATCCCTAATAAATAATTCACAGTAATTGTGGGTTGCTGACAGGTTTGACAGCTAGCGTAATGCCACATGTCATGGGTAATACATGATATCCCTCTGATAAAGTACTCGTGCTTTCCTGCATGATTACAAATTTGCTGCTTTTTTTTCCAGAATACAGTCGGGATCCTACCTCAGCACTGGGTGGTTTACACTCATCCTCGCTATGGATGTTTGCCGCGAAATCCACGTGTACGGAATGATTAATGAGACCTACTGCAGGTAATGGAACACAAACCTTCGCTTTCTTCTCTTTGTACTCTCTTTGAGCTGTCGCATCTAGAAAGGTCTTGACCGACAGATGCAAAGGTAGGCAGTCGTAGTATTTTCATTCTCAGAAGGTGTTCACCTGTCTGCTGTGTTTTCCTAATAGATACCAGCTCAAAATCCAGTAATTACCTCTAGATAAGTCAACATGAAGGGGTAATAAACTGCCAAGGCTGACAAACATGTTTAAAATGCCTTGGCATTTGGCATTAACCTTAGCTGACACACCTTGATGTACTGTTAGGAAAGGATTTCACCCAGCAAGTTATCAGGTTTAAATATACCTGATAATAAAACAATGCACGCAGCAAGCAGACAGCATGCGAAGCCAGGTCATCAGTCAGTCCCTGTTTGATCACACACCGGCATGTTTTTGTCTGAGTGCGATCTCATTCATAAAAGAGGGCAGAAATGCCTTCATCTCTTGTGACAAAGTGCAACCTGACCTCTCTGAAGCCGATCTTCGTAAAAGTTAATGAGTATCTCCCTTAAACTACTTGCTGATTTTATTTGAAATACTAATTATTGTTATGCAATTTATATGGAAAAATAACACAAATTGATCTTTTTTACTGACCTGAGAATATAAAATAATTCAGATGAAGCCTTTTTCAGTACACTGGTTTTGATACAAAAGCTTATTGGTAACCTTTACATACTGAGGTTGTTAAAATGACAAAATATCAATTGAATCAAATATCTGATCCTGACACCAACTTGCTATGCAAATAAATTCTAAAACGTAAAAATAATTGCACCTCCTATAGTCATGATTTTTTGTTTCTTTTGCACAGTGGTAAAAAGGTAATAACCAGGTGGCAAACATAAACAAAACAAGTATTTATTTCAATATATAGCACAAAGAAAATGTTTGCAATTAAGTTCAGATCTAAGAGTGTGAGAGCTATGCCTTCTACAGACACAGAAAACAGAATTTTCACTTTATGTAAGAAATTAATACAGTATTTTATAGGGAAAAACAGGGAACCTATGTCCTATAAAATATAGACTAAGTCACTCTCTAAAACTCTCTAAAACCTGAATTACAAATAGGAAATCAGTGTTCCTAAAGTCTGCAGTCTGGTCCTCTTAGTGCTCAGAACTACCTGGTTAGATTCATATAACTTTTCATTTTTTAGAAGAGGTTTCTCACAGTGCAGTTGCATTTCCTAAGTTTTTATATCTGTTCTGAGTCTTCTTTTTTGCCTTTTTTCTCTTTGTGTGTGTTCTCTGGGAGGACAGACTTACCGATTTAACCAAGACCTGGTTTAGTCTGAGTTAATTAGTGATTAGTGATTAGTGTAATATTTTTTTTCAATGCATAGAATCGCAAAGCACTTTCCATGTAAGTGGAAAGAGGCGATCCTTTTCATCCAACACTGAACTTCCAGCAGCTGCCTGTGTGACACGCAGCAACCATTGTGAACTAACAGCCCATCTCCATGATAGATCAGGTGGAGAAGTCAGAAATGAGTTATCGCACCTGTTGAATTAAGGGTAACCTTAAGGGAAGTGGGAGAGTTTGCGCCCAGGGTAAAATTCAGACAAGACACAGAGGAAAAGGACTCTTATTAAACAGTCATGAGATATTTAACGAACATGCACTCGGGGCCTGTTGAATGGTTTGTCTGTAAAATGGTACCTCCTGCAGTCCCAAGTCACCGTCCGGGTGCAGTGGTTTGGAAATTCAGGTCCAGAAGGGAGAACGCCCCCTATTGGTCCACCAACCACATGTACAGCAGCAGTCTAGTCCAGCCTTGCTCAGATTCAGAGATCTGACGAGATCAGGCTACAACATGCTAACATGACGTGACACAAAACCAAGGCACTGACTTTACTGCTGTTATAGAGTGGTGTTAATGTTAATTTTTGATCTGTGTTTTGTGTGCTATACTGTATTTATCTTTACTGGATAGCTAGATAGCTGTTAAATTAATAACCAAGGCAATCTAAAGAAGTAAGCAAAGGTTTTCTTTTTTACCTTTATTTTCTACCCAGAATCAAGTGAAATTCTGTCTTGGGTACCACACAGTATGCTTTTGATGTGCAAATGTCATTGAGATGAGAAAGGTTTTTCAGCCTCTTTTTCTATTTTTTCTTTGCCTTGGGGAATTATAGGAGGGTAGACATCTTTTTTTTTACTGTTCTACATTATAAAATTATATCGCGTACCTCAACACACGTTTTAAAAAGAGCATTCAATTTGGCAAATGCTGTGGTAAAGAAATAAAGAAAATATCAATATATAATTTTATAATGTAATACACACTGTTAGTAGAGTGGGACATCTTGTCTACCCTTTCTTAAGGTAAGGTTAACTGTTATTTTTCTCCAGACTTTAAGACTTCAGAAGCAAACATTATGCATAAAATATAATCTTATAGTCTTTTCTTAAACTGTCCCATAGTTGGAGAAGGTACAGAATAGAAAACATATTGTCCTGTGAACACACTGTACAGTATCTTCCTTGTCATTGCATGACCTAAAATTAGCATTGCAAATAGAATTATGTGCTTTACTTTTTAATTGAGTTAAATTGTTTCAATCAGGCTCTTCCCTTACTCATTCAGTGAGGATACAAGGGATAGTTGATTTGTTCTGAAGTGGTTCTCCGTTATTTAAAAGCCATGTCAATAAAAATGCAGGAGTGAGTGGCGAAATATCTGTGCTGTAGGATATTGTATTAGAGGATAAAAGTGCAACAGCACTGTGTCAGAACTGACACTAATGTTGCAGCAGATCTAGGAACTTAATTTAGCTATTACTGTAATGTCATTCAAACCTGCTTGAATAAATAAGTGCTGCAACTTTAGTGTGTTCTGTGAAGTTGGTTTGTTTACATGATCCATTAGAGATGTTTTGTGTTTTAATTAGAACAGAATGACAGAACAGTTATCACCTTCTGAGGTCTCTTTAAGTCATCAACAACACAAGACATCAGGAAGATAAATTAGCTCAATTAATCCTTTAATTTAAATGGGAAAATTAGAAACATTCTTATTTTTATGGTATCTAAAATGAGGCGTTATGTAAAACACCAATTAAAAATAGTTTTATATGCAGATAAAATTGATATGTTTCTCTGGCTAGAATAACTTTACAGTTTCCTGTGGCATTTTGTCATTATCAATATAGTTTATCAAAGCTAGAAATGGTTCAAAACTCCAAGCCATTTAAAGACACACCTTTGCAAATGGAAAACTAATCTCTCTGGTAGGTTTAAATAATCAACACTTCCTTGCTGTATATAACTCCTCCTGTGTCACAGGTATTAGTATTATGACTTCAGATGAAACAAACAAAAGCAACTCATTGATTTCAGTGTTGTAGTCCTTAGGTAGAGCTTGGTGAGCTCAGTACAGAATGGTTGCAATGGTACAGCCACCAATAACACTCATGAAAAGTATCTTTTGTTATTTGTCACTTCTCATTTCAAGGGTGTTACATGGGGATTTACAGTATGCATATGAAAATTAATAGATATATAGTATGGGTGTTGATATCTAAAGTACATCTAGCAGAGTGATATAGCCAGCAGCTATATCACCCTGCAACTCACAACTGGCAGCCCACTGAAGCTAAGCAGGTGTGAGCCTGGTCAGTACCTGGATGGGAGACCTCCTGGGAAAA